TGATGCCTTAATGGCCTACTTGGATATTGAAATTGATCAAGGTGAGGGTGTACTTGACCGCCCTCACCTCTTTTGTTATTGTCACTGATTGGTTACCGTTTTATTGCATTACTGGACTTGATATATTGGTTGGTAAATTCCATTTCATGGAAACCGAATTGATGTCGTTTGGACGATGTCCAACGGCCATACTGCATTACTGAGCTCAACTCCGTTTGGTAGTCAATTGGATCGAGCCGGCGAGGGCTTGGTCGTGAAGATTGAATTGCCACGGGGACTGTACTGGGGAACCTTGTGGTAATGAGACCCTTGGTTCCGGTAAACTCGAGTATTACCAAAAGCTACTGAAATGGAGTGCGGGCCCGGTTGGGGTATGTTGGGTGGAAGGAATGGAAGTAAAGAGTTGTCTACGGTTTGGTATTTTAACATTGACGGAGAGTCAATGAGATTGGTTCAAGATTGCAAGCGTGGAAATGGGCTCTTGAGAGCCGACCGTATCCTTTTACCATTTTGCTTCATTGCTTAGTTGTGCACTTTAAATGAAGGTTCATTCTTATATGACTTTGATTGCTTATTGGGTGGTATACCACTGGGCCTTGGCTCATTCCGTGTTATTTGTTTTCCTTACAGGAATATAAATGCTTTTGAAAATGGACTGGATAGTCAATTGCCATACTGAGCTTGTACATGTCTTTTGTATCGCTCTCGAAGTGAAACCCTAATGTAACGGGTTCATTTCCTTTTGATAGGCAAATCGAATGTGTACTCCTTAATGAATGGTTGGCATGCCATTATGGATGTAAATGATGATTTCCATTGTATATATATGTTTATATGTTGAATTGATGTTTGGATGAACTTCGGAGCGAATCGGCTTTCAAACGGCAAAAGAAAAAAATTTTTGGCAAAAGCTCACTGGCCTGAATCCGGCCAGGAATCCGGCCAGAATCTGGCCGGATTGAAGGCCGGATTGATTGAGAAAAATTGGAAACCCGGCCAGTTGCTCACTGGCCGGTATCCGGCCAGACAATCCGGCCGGAATATTGGCCGGATTGCCGGCCGGATTGGGTGGAACTTTTGAAAAAAATTCGAGATGCTTACTGGACAGTATCCGGCCAAGAATCCGGCCTCTAATCCGGCCAGATTCCGGCCGGATTCTGGCGTGTCCAGCACTATTCATTTCGGTTTTCAATTTTCGTTTTTTTTTTATTTTGTGTTTTCTGACTTGTTTGCGCGCAATGGTATGTTCCGGAACGTTATAGAACGACGTTAACTGTACCGTAGTCCTGGCGAGAGCTGGGCAGGCAGTCCGCTAACCCCTTTGGTTCGCCTTAGGGGAAGGTGGGGCTGTCACAGGTCTCACTCAAGCAATCGATCCAAGATTCACATTCACTTTTATACGTATACTTATGAAGATTACAAGCCTAGAGGATACCTCGAAACTTACGATTTACCTAGTCAAATTCGATCATATAGATATCACTAGTACCAATGTTCAAGAAACTCAACTATCACTTTTCAAATCAATCTCACACAATTCTCTTCAGTTTCCTATAATATAAGAAACCCTAGTGTGCAAACCCACTTAAAAACAAGCACTTCAATATTACTCAATCAATCATCAAGTACTAGGATCACATTCCACTTGCTAGACAATCAAACTCCACAGTCCGGCATCCTATACTTAAAGCCTAGGATACACTACAAAGATCTGAAGACTAAGCTCTGATACCACCTGTGACGACCCCACTTCCCCCTAAGGCGAACCAAAGGGTTCGGCGGCCGCCTGCCCAGCTCTCGCCGGGACTCACTACAAAACTCAAGCATGAATATAATCGATGGTTCTTAAAAGCTCAAACGGAGTATAATATATCCACCAGTCCAACACACCAAAGTACAAGTCCAATACTTCATCTAAATTGTCGTACTAATAACTTAAGTACAATCCTTATGTTTGCAATTCAAATCATTCTTGCAAAAGTATAATCCCCAAAATATCATGAGATTTACATTCACTTCAACCACAAGTACATCATACCAAAAAGTTTCACAAATCTTTCAAAACAACCATTACACTTCACGAAGAAAATCAATCACAATCCAGATAAAGGATAATCCACGGTACTCCAAATCCTTGCGCTTGAGTAACTATCCTTCTCGAGCCCTGCATAGAACTAAAATATTTTTGGGGGTGAGCTAAAGCTCAATGAGGTTTCAAAAGGGAAAATCAAGTATTTATAAACCAGTGCGTAAGCGTTACTTTGGAAACACATGTAGAAGTAATATTTTTGTTGGCAACTTTGTTCTGAGTACAACTCATAAATCATTTAAAAACCACTAACGTACATTTGGAATGCATGATCACATAAATATATTTTCATGAATTTTAGTCAAACAAATAGTGGCTCGTCCGACTAGAAGAACATTACAAGGATTGCTTCGTCTCAGAGATTAATGCTCATGAGGAGTCTTCCCCTTCGTTATCACCTATTCGAGCCAGAAGCGGACTCGGTCGGATAGGTTGATAACCCTGGGCACTGTATTTTGGTATACTCGAGTATTACCACTGGAGGGATAAGGTGATGGCCAGTCAACCGAAGGAGTTACCAACGGGAGTTATAAGGACGGAAGTGGACCGAGTATTGTATCCTTTTGTGTTTGCTTTACTATTAATACTGTTATTGCTCTCCTAGTTGACATTTCTCGGGTAAGACTCCTCATGAGCATTAATCTCTGAGACGAAGCAATCCTTGTAATGTTCTTCTAGTCGGACGAGCCACTATTTGTTTGACTAAAATTCATGAAAATATATTTATGTGATCATGCATTCCAAATGTACGTTAGTGGTTTTTAAATGATTTATGAGTTGTACTCAGAACAAAGTTGCCAACAAAAGTATTACTTCTACATGTGTTTCCAAAGTAACGCTTACGCACTGGTTTATAAATACTTGATTTTCCCTTTTGAAACCTCATTGAGCTTTAGCTCACCCCCAAAAATATTTTAGTTCTATGCAGGGCTCGAGAAGGATAGTTACTCAAGCGCAAGGATTTGGAGTACCGTGGATTATCCTTTATCTGGATTGTGATTGATTTTCTTCGTGAAGTGTAATGGTTGTTTTGAAAGATTTGTGAAACTTTTTGGTATGATGTACTTGTGGTTGAAGTGAATGTAAATCTCATGATATTTTGGGGATTATACTTTTGTAAGAATGATTTGAATTGCAAACATAAGGATTGTACTTAAGTTATTAGTACGACAATTTAGATGAAGTATTGGACTTGTACTTTGGTGTGTTGGACTGGTGGATATATTATACTCCGTTTGAGCTTTTAAGAACCATCGATTATATTCATGCTTGAGTTTTGTAGTGAGTCCCGGCGAGAGCTGGGCAGGCGGCCGCCGAACCCTTTGGTTCGCCTTAGGGGGAAGTGGGGTCGTCACAGCGTCTAACATAGAGGTTTTGCATGTGAAGTTGTCTTTTGAACTTTGCTTACTTAACTCATCAAATAAGGTCTGGATGTTTTGGCGTGCTGGTTTTTATTTTAATGTCTTGCATAATTCGGACCAAATGCTTCACGTTATGGTGGGATTTGATTCTTGGATAGAAACTGTCAATATGTCATTTATATATGCCAAGTGCACTAGGGTCGACAGGCACTCCCTAAGGTCCGAATTGAGCTCTATCACTGGATCGGTCACAAGGCCGTGGTTAGTAGGTGGGTATTTCAATGTTATCAGCACACTGGCGGAATATGCCGGAAGGGCAGCCCAAGATCTTGGGGCAATTTCTGACTTTAATACGGCAATTTCTGACTACCACCTCCAGGAGGTTCCTTACTCCGACAGTCCCTACACGTGGTCGGGTATTAGAGCAGGTGCTAGAGTCTGGAAACGACTGGATAGGGTATTAGCGAATCACCAGTGGCTCAGTTTCTTGCCCAATACTTCTGTCCAACATCTCAATCGAGCCACTTCGGACCACTCCCCGCTCCTGGTGACCCTGCAGCCTGCTAGTTCAAGCGTCCTGAAGTCCTTCAAGTTTCAAGCTTTTTGGATCTCGGACCCTGACTTCTGATATGTGGTCCAGAGCAACTGGGCCTTGTCTGCAGACGGATATGGCATGTACCGTTTAGCGTTCAAACTCAAGCGACTAAAGGTGTGCTTGCGCCTTTGAAGCAAATAACACTTTGGAGATATCTTCCAAACTGCTCAGCAACACGAGATCGAGGTTCAGCAAAAGGAAGTCCTGTATGAAGCCAACCCTACGGCTGAGACTAGGGCTGAACTCCACCGTGCGCAAGCTCTCCTATTGCACAGCCTACGTGTTGAAGAGGATTACTGGCGCCAAAAGGCGCGCTTACGGTGGCTGAAGAATGGTGATTGCAACACACGGTTCTTTCATGCCTCTGTTCAGGAGAAGCACTCAAAACTGACTATACACTGCATTAAAAATGAGAGGGGGCATGGGCTGAGGCTGAGGAGCAGATTGCACAAGAGGCGGTCAACTTCTTCCAGCGTCTCTTGACTGCTGAGGACGTCAGCGATGTAGATGAATTGCTAGCCTACATACCGGAAATTGTATCCGAGGACCAGAATGCGGACTTTCTATGGGAGATAACACTAGAAGAGCTAAAGGGGGTTGTTTTCAACCTCGACAAGGATAGTGCCCTGGGTGCAGATGGTTACACTGGTATTTTCTTCCGACATTGCTGGGATACTGTGGCCCCTGATGTCTTGGCAGCGGCCAGGGACTTTTGGCTGGGACCATGATCCCGAAGGGCATTGCTAGTACGCTAATTGTTCTGCTCCCAAAGAAGCCAAATCCAACTACCTTTGCGGATTTTTGACCCATTAGCCTGTGCACTTTCGTCAACAAAGTTTTTACGAAAGTGTTGGCTAATAGGTTGCGCCCTATCCTCCAAAGCATTATATCCCCGGAGCAATCTGCGTTCTATCCAGGCCGTGATATAGCTGAAAATGTACTCCTGGCCCAGGAAATGGTGGCGTCCATTGATAAGAAAGCCCACGAGCATAATTGCATTTTCAAATTGGACATGATGAAGGCTTTCGACAGAGTGTCGTGGTGCTTCCTATGGCGCCTGCTCCAGAAGTTTGGTTTTGGTTATCGGTTTATTTTGCTAGTTTTGAATAACCTCTCTCAGAGTTGGTTTTCTGTGCTAGTGAATGGCAGGTCCAGGGGTTTCTTTCAGGCCTCACGTGGGATTAAGCAAGGTGATCCCCTGTCCCCTATCCTTTTCATCCTTACATCTGAGGCCCTTAGTAGGGGATTAAAAGCACAGGCAACGGATGGCAGGATTGCCCACTATGCACTGCCAAAGGGCGGCATTCGTATCACGCACTTGTCCTTTGCGGACGATGTTGTGATTTTTGCTCGGGGGGATAGGCGCTCTATGGTGAATCTGGTCCATTTTTTAACACTCTACCAAGAAGGGGCGGGACAATGGATTAACAAGCAAAAGAGTTTCTTCATAGCATCCAGGCGGTGTAGCACGGGCCAAATACGTCACATCCAACACTTGACCGGCTTCAAACAGGGTACTTTCCCTTTCACCTATTTGGGATGCAACCTGTTTGTTGGCCACAGGAAAAAGGAATACTTCCAGTTCCTGGTCGACAAATTCATTGCTAAGCTAGCGGCCTGGCAAACAAAGTTCCTTTCGCCCGGTGGTCGCTTGATCCTGATCAAACATGTTCTCTCAGCCATCCCATCGCAAGTGCTGGCGGTCATGGATCCCCCCAAGGGGCTGCTCAAATGCCTCGAAGGCCTCATGGTAAATTTCTTTTGGGGACAATCGGAGTTGGGTCCTAAGCATCATTGGTGCTCCTGGAGGAACTTATGTTATCTGGTGAATGAGAACGGACTTGGGGTGTGTTCTTTGGAAGACATACTAGGGGCATTCAGCTGCAAATTGTGGTGGAGGTTTTGTAACTCAGCTTCCCTGTGGGCCGATTATATGAGGTCTCGTTACCCCATGGACGGTGGTGTCCAGCTTACGGTTTCACGAGTTTAGAAAAGGATGCTGGCTGTTCGGGACACGGTGGACCAATTCACACAAGATATCGAGCTAGACTGTGGCATTCGACGAGCTTGGGTTCTTACGCCCTCCGGAGATTTTACAGTCTCCTCTACATGGGATGCACTATGGCCTAAACAAGCCTATCTAGGGTCACGGAGGTGCGTCTGGAGTTGTCGCATACCGTGCAAAATCGCCATTTTTATGTGGAAGCTGCTTAACAACTATTTGCCTTTCCTTGAAGCTTTACGCAGGCTTGGTTTCCAGCTCCCCTCCAAGTGTCATTTCTGCCCGGATGGGGAGACCCTGGACCACGTCTTCTACGACTGTCCCCTTGCTACTGAGGTGTGGAACTATTTCTCTAAGGTCCTTCAGCTGCCCATTAGACCTCCCAATGGTGTCATCTGTCGCTTGCAGCAGTGGTGGCTCTACAGGTCTCCTAGTACTGCGCGGGGTGAGTTGTGTAGGGTGTTGCCACCCCTTATATGTTGGGAACTAGGGAAGGCCAGAAACATGGCAATGTACGAGGGGATTGTTGCAACGCCGTCCTGACTATGTTGGAACATCAAAGCTTTGCTGCTCGGCATGTCCAAGGTCCGCCCCTTCATCCTGGCGATGCAGGACGATAGGGAGTTGGTCCTCTCGGGCTTATCTATTAACATGACACCGATGGAGCGACCCCTCCTGTGCTGGGTCACATGGACGCGGCCGCCGCCCGGGTATGTCAAGTTAAATATTGATGGCTCATCCTTAGGGAATCCAGGAGACTCAGGAGCCGGAGGGGTACTCCGCGACCCCGAGGGTCATATCTTGAGTGCCTTCTCATTGTTCTTAGGGCCCATGACAAATATGGAAGCAGAGGCCTTGGCGCTACTGGAAGGCATGCGCGCCTCAGCGGATATCCCCTGTTTGCACATTGAAATGGACTCTCAGGTTTTGCTGAACATGGTGACAGGCAACGACGGAGTCCCTTGGAAGCTATGGAAGACTGTCTCACGCATCAAGGCTTTAGCGATAGATCGCCAGGTTTCATTTGCTCATACCTATAGAGAAGCAAATGCAGTTGCGGATGCCCTAGCTCACCTAGCAAGCTCCACACATATTAGTCAAAGGTTCCCTCCCACCCCACTTCTAGAATGTATAAAGGGATTAGCCCACCTAGACAGGATACAGACGCCCTATGTACGCTTGACTTAGGGTGCCCCACCTGATGTACGCTATTGTTTTTGAATAAAAAATTAGGCTATTTTGAAAAAAAAAAGATTCATTATATTGCAAAAAAAAAAAAAATCAACAAGCAATTCCTTGAGTGTCAGCAAAAGAACTAATTAAAATTAGAGTATTTATGTTCCTCATGCTATTGTTTATTCATTTTAGAGTTGCAAATTCATATTAAAAAAAAGAGTAGAAAGAAAGTCTATGGCAAACGAATGCCTATGAAGGAGAAATCTTATATTTATCATCATGCAGTCAGTAAATTTTTTTTTTTTGCAAAAAGCAATAGATATAGAAAACAAAAGTTTTTGTATAGAAATAGGTGAAAATATGATTTTAGAGTTAAACTGTTAAGCAACCTAAGAAAGCGATGTGTTTTTGCTTCCACTACTTAGAAACTGTTAATGGTGAAAAAATGGAGAAAGAAGTAGCAATAGATTTGTTCAATGTGTGTAATTGGATGATTAAAGTGTGGGTGGTAAATTAATTTCTATTAAATGGACGAAGCTGTGAGGTTTTTAGATTTCTTAATAAAAAAAATAAGACACCAAGTAAAGTTAATATGTGTGATGGAGTAGGGGTGGGCAAAATTATCCGCTAACCCGAAAATCCATCATATCCGTTCCGATCCGATCCTAAAATTAGAATATCCAATTTTTGTTATTTGATCGGGTCAAAGGAGGGTCAGGTACCTGCTAAGATGCGGGGCGGGTTAGGGTCATATAATTAAAAACCCGCAGGTACCTGATCCACCCCGCATATATATTTTTTAATTTTTTTTATTTTTATTTCTATACATACACTATAAAATAATAAGTTTAATTTGATTGAACAAATTGTATTATAAATATGAAAGACTATAGTTTATTTACAAGATTCATTTGTAGAGGCTATGATCTTATATTTTATAGAAAAAAGTTTAATTAATGTGAAACATATATATTAAACATTGTGCTACTTATTTCAAACTTTTATTGATTTTGAATTCTTTTAATTTTTTTTCTTTACCTTATATTCTCTTTACATGCTTGTTTCTTGGTGGGAACCTTTTTTAGAAAAAAATTTTATTAAACCTTAGATGAATGTGTATAATATAAAATTAAATTGGTATAAATTATTTTTTAAAAAAATTAAATGATAAATCGGACGGGGCGGGTACCCGCTGATATGCGGGGCGGGTAAGGGTCAGAAAATGGCTGACCTGCAAGGTACGGGTTGGGTCAACCAAATGGTGAATGGCGCGGGTACCCGACCAGCGCCCACCCCTATGATGGAGGGTGCCACTCCTCCATTTCACTAGATAAAATAAAAACTTACAAAGAGTTTGAGGGGGTCAAACCAAACCTCAAGAATACAAGAAAAAACCAACAAATTTAAAACTTCTTAGAAACGCGACGCCAAACAAAAGGTATTGATAGCCTATCTAGTTGCATTGCCAACCTCATCCTTAAAGGAAGAGACTCGGCTGCATTGAAGACCATATTCGAATCCAAACTCATCAAAGCCAGTGCATCAACAATAGAATTTGCTTCTCTAAAAATGAGTCAATGAAGCTCTCAAACCATGCAACAGAAAATGTATTATACAAACACCACTTACCAAGAAACTTAGATTTAACTAAGAAAACAAGAACTTGAATCAGTCTTCATCGTGAACTCTCTAACACCTCTTTCCTGGCAAAGTTTTAGCCCCCATAATAGCGATAAAGCCTCAAATATCAACACGTCGACCTCCCCAAATTCCTTATAAAATGCAAAAACTAACTTACCATTATGAGTCCGTAAAATCCCTCCCCCAAATGCCCATGCAAAGATCACACTAGCATCCGTGTTCAACTTAAAATAGTTATGTGATAGTTTCTCACACACCGGCCACCACCGACTCTTCTTGTGTAAACGATAAACCAGGCGACTGCACCGGTGATCAAAGTCACCTCTAAAATACATCAAATGAAGCAGGGGCGGATTTAAGGTGGGGGCACGGGCCCCCACTGCCCCTCTTAAATTCTTATAATACTTATATAATTTTGATATAATTTTAAGTGTGCCCCAGAGTTTTCTTAGAAAGGATGTGAAAGAATTACGTAATTTTTTAAGTTTGTTCATAAACTAAAATTCTAAACAGATACGTGGGGTACAAATTCCATTTGAAAAAAGATAAAAAAAACCTTTTCATTTCAATTAGCAAGTGCCAATCATATCATTCACTTTCTTTGGACCCCACTCCCCAATTTCCCTTCTCTCTTCTGGTCCCCATTTTTTCCCCACAACCGAGAGCCACTACCTTCCACAACCAAGCAGCTAGCTACTTTTTCTCTTGATCAATTCATCCAATCATATCATTCACTTCATTTGTCCCCACTTCCCAATTTCCCTTCCCTCCATTGGTCCCCCATTTTCCCTCCACAACCGAGAGCCATTCTTATTTCCACAACCAAGTTAGTTATTAAAATATAAAAACTCGCAATGAGCAATTATAAATAGTTTAGTTTATTTTTGAAATAAAATTATTATTACATTAATAATTTTGAATTTGTTTGTTTATGTTTTTCATGGAATATATGCATTATTTGTACTTGTTGGTGATTTTTTTTTTTTTTTTTCTTAAAAAACTAGAAAAAGAGTAGGTAAAAAATTTTAGTGTTGCTTTTGCCCCCACTAAGAATTTTTTCTGGCTCCGCCACTGAAATGAAGGCATTTGTTTGCCTCTATTTGCATAATAAACTAATCCACTTGAAAAATAACATTAAAGGCAGAAAAGGGTTCCCCCTGAAAACGTGCCTGGTTATGACCCTTCCGTATAAACCACAAAAAAAGCAAAGGAGTTATATCTCTGATATGGTTTGCTGTCACTAATTGGAGCGAGGCGAGCCATGAAAGTAACATAGATGAAATTCCTCTAACTCGCAACTCCAATATACCAAATTGGCGTGCAAAAAACTGCTATAATTCTGAAGCTAGAGAACTAGTTACAAACAAGTGCTCAATTGTTTCAAAATGTACACGACAACAGTAGCACCTCGACGCTAGAACTATGCCTTTTCTTAGCATTAAATCATCAATAGGAACCCAACGACGCAACAAGCGCCAAGCCGAGAAAGAAACTTTTAGAGGAACAAGAGAGTTCCAAACAATTTTGTGGAGCAACGAAGAATTTTGTTTTTGTGAGGACCCGAATTTTTCTTACTTTTATTTTATTTTACTGGCCTATTTAATTATTTAATTATCCATTTTCTCCAATTAATCTATTTCATCCATTTTAATTTCATTTGCATGGGACAATATCTCATTTATATTTCTAAAACGTTTCGTTAGCAAATTTAATTTTTCTGCAGCTCGTTTCGCGAGAAAATGTGAATGCACATTTTTTGAGGCAAATTCGATCCAAGAGTATATTAGCCTTGGAGAACTAAAGATGATTAATAGTAGACTAAGAAAAGTTAATTGAGGGATTAGATGTGAGTGAGTTAAGTTAAACTCAATTAGGAACACAAATTGCTCACTAATTGGATGTTGACTTTTGTGTACCAAGACATCTTTATGTCAAATCCTTCTTACACAACCTCACATCACCACCTACCAATCAAAACTCTCCCTTTTCTCTTCCCTCTTGGCTGAACCTCCCTTGGCCATTTCTTCTACATTCTTGCTCGCCAAGTTCTTCTTACTCTTCCATCCAAAATCCCCAAGAGAACTTTCAACTCCTTGCTAGTTTAACTTTGTACTTGAGGACATCTTGAAGAGAAGAGAGGCCGGCTGGATGGGGCTGTTTTGGGGAGTTTC